TCTCTCTCTCTCTCTCCTGTGATTTTTATCTTGTGATCATTGGATTCATTATCGCAAATAAGTATTGAATGCGTAAACCGTTGACTTGAAATTCAATTTATTTAGCAATTATTTGAAATGTGATTTCAATTGTAACTCAAATACTTTCTTCCGCCATATATTCAGATAATCATCAATACCTTAATTTAACTTAATCAAGAAAATTAAACATATTTTTTATAAAAATAACAATAAAAATTTCTAAACGTAAAAACATTTTATTTGTGGCCAGAATTTGACAAATAAATGTATTTAAAAAGTACAGTTATTATTTATCACGATTTTGACTCCCGAAGCAAATTCTTAATAATATTTATGCCCACAATGTACTCAATAAAGTACCGAAAAACTCATATTTCATAATATGATTCATTCAAATCAATCCATTTATTATTTTTGCAAATTTTTATATTAAATTCATTTATAAATGTGCTCGCTCATCAATCATCATATGATTCATCGCTGCGAACATGTTTTTATGATCGCAAAGGCTTGAGATATAACTAAAAGACTAATTTTATTCACTTATATGATGGGCACAAAAGGCTATAACTATGTCTAAAAAATTAAGTCCTTAACGACTGATATCTCACTCATATTTTAATGCGATTTCTATATTTACACAAAAAGGTACTGACTTTTTGAGCAAACAATTTCTAATTCAATTAACTCTCCATTCAGTCAATTGAAAAGAATTTAATTATGAATTTTAATATTAGCTAATGTTAAATAAAAATCTTAAACAACTTTAGTCTTATATACAATTGAAGGTAAAAACGAGATATTTAAGGAGCACTGATATTATTGTAGTGAACAACTCATCCGTTATTATTTGCACAAAATACTTGTTAAGTTTAATAGATTTTATATATCTTAAATATTTGATACTTTAGTCTAAAGTTTCATAAAACAAACAAAAACTCTCAAATAGTCTGCGAATTTTGTATTCATTCATACATACAGTTCTGTATTATATTTAATCCAAAGCTTTGTTGAATATAATAGACACCAAATCTCACAAAAATATCTGATAAAGAATATGCAAACACGAGAATATGTTAAAACTTCAATTATATGCTAAATTGGAAATTAGTTTCATGTTTATATTGAGATTACTGGATATGCACCGAATTTCATAAGTTTAACACATTTGAACTCAATTCTCGGTAAATAACACATAAATCATGACAGAAACGGTAAACTAAACATTATTTGAGAGATTTGTTTAAATGATTTTTTCTAATTAGTCAGCAATCGTAAGAAGATTTACTCCCAAATGATTAAAAGACAATAACAGCCAAAGTATTCATTAATTGAGTGAAAGCATAGTATGCGGTGTCGTCTCCCAAATGCACTAATGATCTGTCTATCAACTAATGGTTACAGAAGACTATTCATTGTCTGTTTTGACACAAACCACAGCCACGGCTCAGTTTCAATATCTTAACATTTTCTAAATCTCAATTACAACACGTCTCACAATTATAAATCTACTTTTGATAACTTTATACCAATAATTCAATATATTTTTGTATTTGTTTTAATAACAGAATATTCTTTGAGTGGAGAAAGAGAGAGAGCGAGAGAGAGAGAGAGAGAGAGAGAGAGCCAGGAATTAACACAACAATAAAATATGAGCTAAAATTGCAATAACGAAAAAAGCAATAAAAAGTTTGATATAATTGTGGTCTGATTTCAAGTGATTCTCAAAGCAATTAATGTGTAAAAAGATATCTTTCGAAACGATTTTCGATTTACAGTAATAGAAATACTCAACGAATAGAAAGTTATAACAAATAACAAGCGATTTTCATTTCATATATAAAATACTCTCAAAATGTATTTCACTTCTAATCGATACGATTGGCTCCGGAATATATAGGCCTTCAGGGGAACGGTATGGTGGTTAAATTCAACGCTGACGGCGACGCACCGGGAAGTTATGATATATTTCAGTACCAAAGAGTCGCCAAAAGGAGTCACAGTCGGAGGTCTCACGACTCGGGTGACGAATCGGCCGGATTTGACTACGTGTCCATTGGGGAGTGGGCTAACGACAGGTCAGTCATCACTTTCATATTAACCGATAATCTCTAAACTTTTCATTTCAAAAGCGATACATTTTACTTCAAATCATTGTGTATAATATAAGCATTAAATTAAAAGAAATCCAATTAAACAAAAGCGCAAACAATCAATAATTAAGATATAGTTTATGAGAGAAAAGTCAAAGCATTTGTAATAAACGACACAAATATGAGTAATAATTATCAGATTATATATCAAATAAGTAGCGGAAAAGATACTAAATGTATACAATTAGTGGTAATTAGTGTGAAATAACATCATGTGTTGGCAACAGTTGGGGCACCGGTTGTTAGTCTGAGCCCATGACTGAATGCATCCCAAGTGGAAGGGATGGCCGCAACTCAGTGTCTGCTTTCTAGCCGTCGCGTCGATCCGTTGCGAACAGACGCCACAAATGGGAAGGCATCCCACGTTCGCCACCATAAACCCGTCCGTTGCCGGCGCCGACACTTCACTCTCGATATAATCACTGATTTTAGCGATAATTTCGGCCACTTTTAGACCGGAAAACCCTTTCGGTTGACCCGATCTGATCAGCGACTCTTTGGTCGCAGTCATGGCATCGATGAGCAGCTCATCGCACAGATCGGGATATTTGAGCACAAGTTTGCCTAAGAGTTTGCGCTGCGGTTCAGTCAACTGATCTCTGGTCATACCTGTGGCCGGACTCTCACACTCGGGCTCTACTTTGGCTTCAATGGCATCGCTTGGATTTGCCTCAAGAATCACTTCCATTTGTTTTGCCACTACTTTCGATGGACTAGAGTTGGAGTCGATATTCGGGTTGTTGTCCACCGAATCGTACGGCTCCTCATCGATGACCAACTCTTTCATCTGAGTGTCGACACTGTTCTCCAGCGAGTGATTCATGTCATCACTGAATGGCGACTCCATTACCACTCGATATCTGTTGCTATCGTCAGTCGTGTCCACAATTGTCTCGTTTTGTACGACTTCTTCTGAATGTTCGGGAATCACATCATCAGAAGCGGCGGTAATGTTATGCTCTTCGGGCGACTGTTTGTCATCCAATGGCTTGACATCGATATCGTTGACAAAACTGAGATTATTATCGCCATCGAGTGTTGTATTCATGATAACATCCGTCATACGGTCCGCCATTTTGTCCAACAAATCCTTATAAAAGGCCAGAAAATGTCCGATTTCTGGAACAGACTTCATGTCAAACGCCAACTGTTGACAACACTTCAGATCCATTTGTAGAGTGATTCCGTCATACGGTCCGCCATTTTGTCCAACAAATCCTTATAAAAGGCCAGAAAATGTCCGATTTCTGGAACAGACTTCATGTCAAACGCCAACTGTTGACAACACTTCAGATCCATTTGTAGAGTGATCTTCGCCTTCATGTCCGACACCTCTCTCTTGAAGCGCTTCTTCTGCTCTTTGATGGCAATCAACGCCTCATTCATCTGTTGGCTGAACGCCTTCAACGACTGGACCA